TGGCCCCCGCTAAAGTCTATAGAACAGTAAAGTGGCCCTTTGCGTAGAACGTTTGGAGACCCCTGCTCTACACAGTCTCTAAGGGAAACATGCACAGCTGAGGCTATCAATCACTTGCTGTGCTGGGGGTGGGAGGATCATCTCCTGGGCTTATATGGTATTGGCATAGACTGTCAGAAGTGACTCAAGAGGAAAGACAGAGCAGATGAGATTCATACTAGGTGCTTTGGATTGAAGAATGTACACTTTACAGGGATATGCTTTGTTAATTTTTTCCTTTCAGAGGTTTACAACCACTTGAACACTGTGCAGAAGCTTTATTTTACACAGCAACAGCTACAAAATAGCAGGCAGGATTTTGCCAGCATTTACAGCCAAGGAACGGCAACTTGGATAGAGAAACTGTGTGTACATCATATGCCTAAACTCTTTTTGTTGAAATTTATATTAGAGTATATGCCATTGGCCCATAGCAGAAATACATAGCACTCAAAATAATAGTTTTTCACTGTTTGCCTGATACTCCCATGTATGTAAAAAAGTATACAATAAAATATATAATGTGTAGAAAACCCAGCTGACGTACCAGCTGAAGGACATTTTATGAAGTAAAGGGTTTACTATAGTGGTTTCTTCAGTTTGTCTTCCTGAACCTTGGTGACAGGTCCTCTTTCAGATCATGGACACTTCATCCTCCTGTTTTAAAACACATTTTGTTTTATTCTTGGATAATAACATGTTGTATAATGGGCTCAGATCCCACAATCGTCTCCCAGAACAGGTAAGGCAATCAGTATAACAGATCTTGGTCATTCCAAACCCACTGGGAGGCATTTATAAAATTTTAGGAACTTTGAACAGCAAGAAAACTGGGCAATATCTGCTCTTTGGTAAAAAGTTAAACTTTTGCTTATTTTTTTATTTTTTTAAAACTAGTAAAAATATAAAACTGCGCCACTATAAGTGTGGTGCACAGAAACTGCTGTCATTTTTTATTTTATCCTGTGTGTTTTATAAATGCCTGGTTGGCTGCAGCTGCGGTTTAGCCTACGGTGGTCATTCTGTCTTGATGACAGAATTATTCTTAAGATCTGTATACTGATGATAAGATAATTATTTCACATAGTATTCTCTTGGATGAGCGATCTCCACATTGCTTCAATCTAATTTCACTCCCCGTTCACCTCTGTGCTGCTCTCTCTCCTCTCTCCAGTATTATCACATTGCAGAAGAACTGTAGACGGCATGTGAATTACATACACTGCATTTGTTTTGTTCTCTATCCTCCCAGGCTTAGAAGCTGCAGTCGTTGCAGCTCCCAAAGAAGGTGTGTTTGTATCCCGCATGGCCAGCCTTGTAATCGGGTGTCTAAGAGCACAGATTGGGAATGAATTAATCCTCTTTGGCTTTTTTGGGCTTCCGCTCTCTGATTCCTTTGCACTAACCAATCCTGTCTTGCCACTGCTGAAATAACCCGCTTCTGATCTTTCCTAACCTTACCACCTGTTCCGTGGTGCTTCCGGCCCCTTTTGCTAGTAAGGGGCTCCAAGAGGTTCTATAGAAAAGGGTTAGTCTCCTTCCTCTTACCAAGGGGTGTTGCTGAGTGATTTACAGGCCAAGACTTGTTCACTTTCTTGTGAGAGCTGAGGGCTGTATGAAGTCTAAGCCAATATCTGAAATTATTTATTGCCATGGGCTGTTGTATTGGGTGCTGCCTGTCATGAAATTTGGTAGCCCCTTTGTGTTGCCAGAGGAAACTGTCAACAGCCGGCACAACAGATGCTAGAGTATGGTAAAGCCTGGTACACACTGCTATTTTTTTTTGTTCAACCCACCAAGCTGAACAAAAAAAAACTGACAGCTCAGGAAGGTCCGCTGTACTAACTATCCAATGTTAGAACAGAGATCTCCCTTTCTGTGCTATTGTGTTCTGACAGGGAGGAAGATCCCCCGCCAGAACACTCCGGTCAGTGCTCTCAGCCATTGGCTGAGGGCACTGATCGGGAGCGGATCAGCAGACTTTTTCAGTCATGCTCCTTCAACAGAAGCCAGTCAAATGTCTGGCTTCTGTCGGACTATCTGCCATACACATGGGTTGAATGTTGGCTGGTTTCTATTGAACCGGCCCATGCCACCCAACATTCATCCCATGCGTACTAGGCTTTAGTCCTCAGACTAATGGCCAGAGGTTGTGACTGGCAGTCGCAGTCAACAGACTGATGGCCAGGTCAGATATAGACAGTCCAGATTCCAGACAGACAATAGCAGCAGTAACAGGCTGATGATCAGAATAAGCATAAACGGTACAAACAGCCAAACCAAACACAAGAACAATCCAAGGCATGAACAATATGACAGAAGTCAGAGACCTCTATACAGGATACGAGCAGGGGCGGACTGACCATTTGGAAACTCGGGCACTGCCCGGGGTCAGTAGGGGGCCCCATGAGATGCCCCTGCTACCTTTTTCATAGGCTTTTTTGAGTTTGCGCAAGGACACAGGGGCCCCATGATCCCCTATTGCCCGGGGGCCCCATGAGTTGTCAGTCCGCCCCTGGATACGAGCAAAGGGAAAACCCTGTTAATCAGATATGGGCTTGAGGCTGTGGCCTACATTTAAAGTCCTCTTATGAGGGCTAGTGTGCACTTAAAAGAGAAATATGGGATTAAAAAAAATATACTCCTCTAGATGCACCTGTGCTGCATCTGTCCCCCACTGGCTCTGCAGTGACAGCTGAGTGATCAAACACCACTGATTGCACAGTTCTCCCCTCGACTCTGAGCAGAAAGCAGTTACTGTCAATCTCCGGCTCTCTGCTCTGCCCCTCCAGCACTCACTGCATCACTGGGCTGTGGAGGAGGGCAGTAGTTTCTGGCATAGGCTCTCAGTGGCTCCCTGAGAGGCTGAGTCAGCTGCCTTTCTAGGCTTCTGGGTGGATATTTTCAGAACCTGGACTGGCTGAGTGATGTCAGGCCATCAGCTGTCTTTAGCCCGCTGTTGGCTGAAAACAGGTCACAGAAGAGCAGAACTAACTGCACTCCTGTGATTCATAGGAGAAGTATAGATAAAAAAGCTTTGGCTATACTTCTCCTTTAAGTCATGAGACCTAAGCTACAGTGCCGAATGACAACCAGCAGATATCAAAGGTACAAGGTTGATCATTAGACTGGTATAGATTCTAAAGGTATGGCCCATCTCCTCTAACAGCCCATTTGTTTAAAACAGCTGATATCAGATAAGGACTGAGATGTCACACAGCCCTTGCTCTCTTCTGGAAGTTAATGTATGGATCACTTTAAATGGATAACTAGGTTCCTTGGTGAGGAAATGGAAAGTGTTTAGCCCTTCCCTGAAGAATTTCTTATATTCCTGATTTCTTTTCCTTAACATGCATCATATCCCCGAAATAACCATCATCTTATCCTCCAGTTATGATCATGTTTCACTCTCTACCATTCTGATTCAGAATTCTATCCCAAGAACTGAAATTTGTATTCTGTTCTGTTTTTGGATCACTGAACATTCAACGATCCCTTTCCCTTAAGATGATGGTAATAGGCAGGGCTCGCTGAGACAGCGGGAAGAAAATTGCATTTAGCGACTGGTGATTTTCTCATTAATCATCTTTGTGATGGATCTCTTTCCCTTATAACAGCACCTGGTGAAAGTTTGCAGTTCAAACCATGGAAAGTATTAGACTGTGTGCCTAACTGCACCCAGTGCACTGGGCTGACATGTCCTGGCTTTCAGCTGTGCTGAGAAGAATATTGGATTCTGAGGACTGACATATTGGAATATATATGAAGATGTGGTATAAGACAACATTCTTCCAGGTCTTAATATAAAGTTCTACATAAAAACATGTATTAATATTAAAAGAAACAATGTAGCATTTAAAGAGGAACTTTAGTTCCCCAATATACTGATCCTCCCCTCACACCCCCATTTCTAAATATTTAGTGCATGAGCAGATGTGCTGAAGGTCTCTGCCCTTTCTTTGGTACCCAGCAGAGACCTGCAGCATGTATGCACAGGGGTTTCCCATGCATGCATGTATACTGTGGTATCTGACACCCAGACACCTGCTGCATCTGTACACATGCGCTGTAAATCCCCTGTGCATGCGCAGATGAGCTGAAGGACTCTTCTGAGTCCCAGTGACCTGTGCCGCATTTGCACACACATGGAAATCCTAGGCGCTCATGTGTATGTCCGCAAAACTGCCACCTAGGGTGTGTTACATGGGCATCCTATGAGGCAGCAGGGAGTGCTATATCATTCTCACCTAGACGAGAAAGAAAGATAGAAGTGCTGTTTTACACTACTAAGAAGGTTTGGTCGCATTTAAAAAAAAGAATGTATTTCCATTTGTGGGGGGCCAGAAGAAGCCAGAAAGGCTGAAGGCCTGCTTTAAACATGGTTGAAAATGCTTTTACAGTATATAAAGTCTTTTTCTTTATCAGCGTTCCCTTGTATTTCTTGTACTATGAAAGAAGTTTAGCTTCTAATTGGACAAATATCAAAGAATCCTATAAGGATTGAATCTGTTTTATTAAAATAAAAAAAAACAGAACCTGGACTATGTTCCCTGTACTTTTGCCAAGATGTACTAAGCCCTTCTGAGTTCGTAGGTAGCATTGACAGAATGACTGTTGAACTTTTTAGAGGACAGTCTGGGGAACCTTGTTCCTACATGTTTCTTCATTTAGAATATTGTGTATTTAGGTGGTAAAGTGTCTATTTGGCATGACGTTTTTTGTTTTTTTTTTTACCTTCTTAAAGTGGAACTTCAGTCAGAAAATGAAGTCCTGCTAGATCAGGGCTTAAAATTTCAAGTCCTGAGTTACTAGCCAGACCTTAGAGTTACTCGCCACTAACAAACACAAACAGAGACACATGTACGTACATACATACACAGACACATGTACATACACACACAGAAACGTACACACACGAACAGACACACATGTATACACACACAGGCATGTACAGACACGCATACACACAGATATATGTACATACAAAGAAATACACATGCACAGACACATGTACATACACACAGACACATGTAGATACACAGACACATGTACGTACATACACAGACACATGTAAGTATATACACACAAACACACACAGAAACATGTACATGCACACACAGACACATGTACACACACATACATGTACATACACGCAGACATGTGTACAGATACACACATGTACATACACACAGACACATGTACAATTGTACATGCATACAGAGACGCACACACACACACACACGCCCCCCCCCCCCCCCATAAAAAGTTGCAGTACTTCGTTGTTCACTCACAGAGCCGTGTACTGCACTCTAGGGAGAGGCAGAGAGCACAGTACACACTCCTTCCTTTGCTTTCACTGCGCTCAGCTATTGAGCAGTCTGACAGCTCCCAGTGCCAATGACAGATCTGGCCTGAGCTCAGAGCCTGTTCAGCAAGATGGCCAGTGCAAAATTTCAAGCCCTGTGCTAGATCACTTTATGCTGGCCCGTTTAATTGAATTGTAAAGCATTAAAAATAAGTGCCTATACTGTTTAAAAACCAATAATACACTGTGTCACTCTTCTGCACATGCTCAGTTGCTTTCTATTTTTTGGCACTGTACCTAAAATGTAGAAGCCAATCTGCTTACAGCCTAAAGATTTACTGTTGCTCAAGGGATCTGGGCTTCAGCAAATTGGCAGCCTCCAGCAGGAAGAAACAGGGACAATGCTGGAGGCAATTTACAGCACACACTAATTTTGTGAGCATAAATATTAATGTGGAATGTATGTTCCCTACTAAAGAAATTTCAAGTTGTTATGGGTAAAGTTCAGCTTTGAGTGAAATTATGGGTGGACCCTCCATTCTGTAATATTTCACTGCAGATAGGAGTTTTCACTTTAGGACTTAATGGGGTCATAGCCATACTCTTCACATAAGGTACATGCATGCTTAGAATGATTACCAAGGTCACTGCATTGCGAGAATAGGGAAACTTCAGCAGATAACAGGCCCATCCCTGTATCTTAAAACCGTCATAACCCCACCCCCCAACCCTTACCAACCTAAACCTTCCTATAACTCTTTCCCCTTACACATGGGGGGATCTTTACTAAAACTGTTGCACGCAAAATCTGGTGCATTTGTGCATAGTAACCAATTAGCTTCCATGTTTTATTATCAAAGCTGACGTTAGAAGCTAATCGGTTACCATACACAGCTGCGTTAGATTCTGAGTGCTCCAGTTTTGGTAAATCTCCCCCTTTGTGTCCCCTCTGCTCCCAGAGAAGTGAGTTAAGCACACACTTCCTATGTATTGGCACTGGCAAAGATGTTTTGATGTTGCCAAGTTGGCCTGCTTGGGTACAGCTGCAAACTCTACAACCAGTCTCCCTATTGCTGTGTCCCAGCACCTTGTAGCAGACTGGATAGTCTTGAACCCTAAACCTGGCCAAACACGCAGACTGAATGTAAAAAAATCAGACCGGTTCCTCTATAGAACGCCTCACCGGCTGATAGTATCCTCATAAACCGTTGTAGACATATGTTATCCTACATATAATTTTGGATCATATGCTGTAGTTGCATTTTTAAATGCTATCTTGTTTTTTTATTTTAAATTGCTCTGGCATCTAGTTTTTATGAAAAAAAAAAATATAGAAAAAACTAATATTTAGATATCATTGAAGTTATGTCTGTGGCTAAAGCCCATAAATTTGCCTCTTATTAGGGTTATTTTAGATTTTTAGGTATGAATGTAATCAGTTTAGACTTTTTGGGAGTTCATTTACAAGTACTTCAGGAAATGGTGCAGCCACAGCTTCACAACCTGACTTCAGCTTATTGTGTTTATTTTCCTAAATCAGCTCAGCTGGGGCCAAAAACAATTCTTTACAATGAACCTTAAGCGATTAATTCCAATATGTCTGTCAGTCCAGTATTTTTCTGAACACAAGCATTTGGTTTATCAAGACCTTGTAACTAGATGTGGCTTCCACAGAATTGGGTCTCACACATCCTCTATGACTTCTTTCCACAGAGCTCTTAGAGGAAACTGAGAAGCTCTTGAACGAGAAGATTGAGGTTCAGCGGCAAGCTGAGAAAGACTCGGGAGACCTCCACAAGCAAGTGAAAGTGCTGGAGGTGGAACTTGAGGAACAGGTCAGCCGTAACATGGAGATGGAACAAGAAAAGAACGCCATTCTGGAAGACCTGCGCCAGAAGAACTTTTCCCTGGAGAAGCAGCTGGAGAAGACCCGCAGGTTCTTAGATGTAAGTGGTGAAGCAGGGGAGATGTCAAGGGGTTGCTTTTTGCTCAGAGTTCTCATTAGCAATTTTCCTTAGTTCCAATTATCATGAACAAGCCACAAAATTTAGGTGTGTACAGGAAAAGTAATTGGTCAAACAAATTCAAAGCGGAGTTCCAGCCAGTGTATCTCACATATAGAATAATGTGTATAGGCGAGCACTGGAAGTAAATATGAGTCAGCTTGCACAAAGGAAAAGGTAAAAAACTCCTATAAAAACATGATATAAAGTGCAGCGATGAGCAAGTAATTAATCAATAAAATGAATACATATAAAGAGGAACATCCAAGTGCAATGTATATAAAACTTCCAATAATTACATTTATATACGGAATGAAAATGGGTGGAACTGTCAAGTACATCATATAAGAGCTCTTAAAAGAGCAAACCGACCAGGCCCCGCCAGCTCACTCTATTGGCACTATGGCGCACGACCGGTGACGTTGGGAGATGTTGCTGCCAGGGTTGGTGTTCTAGAAGTGGAGTGGTGAGCTATTTTCCCTAGAGAACGGCCCTATCCTTCTCTCTGGAGCGGAACCCTGGCTGCCTCTGGATCTACGGATGTAATATACATACATGCTATTAACCAGTAGCTTTCTGGTGAGTTTACTTTTGACAGAGATGGTGGACCCCTTCACTTGTTTTGTACCTACGGTTTAACCTGCACTTAAGATTGCTGCTGCACCTACGGACACTAATATATTTTTAATATATTTTATGGACTTCACCAGTTTATTTTTATTCTCTCACTCCATTTGACAAACGTTTTAATGCCTCACTTGAATCTGATAAATTAATATATTTGTGGCTAATTTGCCTTACTATTATATGGTTACAATCTGTGTTGCCTCTTTTAAGAGCTCTTATATGGTGTAACTTTCACCCATTTTCTATTTTGTAGTATAAATGTAATTATTGGAAAGTTTATTATATAACATTGCACTTGGATATTAATGCCTCACTTGAATTACAAGTCTGTTTGCTCTTTTAAGAGCTCTTTTTCCTGATATGGTGTACTTTCACCCATTTTCATTTTTATTTTGTATATAAATTTAATTATTGGAAGTTTTATATACATTGCACTTGGATGTTCCTCTTTATCTGTATTCATTTTATTTGATTAATTACTTTTGCTTGCACACCCTTTGGCATTGAAATCTCAGTGTATTTCACAGGTTGAACTTAGTGGAACTACACTGTATCTAAAGCATCCTTTTCCCAAAGCAAAAAGATCTCTATTTAATTGGGCATCATTTTTCAAAATTTAAAGCAAACTCCTCCATGCTATCCATGTCTCCAAGACCCAGATGCTTTATTTTGCGGAGAAATTGCACGTTGAAAAAACAACCCCAAAACATCATTGAACCTCCACCATTTTTACCGTGGTACTTGTGGCCATTTGAATATAGGCAACCGAAAAGCTGGTCTCATCTGTACAAGCATTTTTGGCTTACTTCAAACTGGAATCCATCTATAGCGTTTCATTTCATTTAAATGCAGCAGGCATGCTTGAGCTGAGCCTGCAGGACAGCTTGAATGTCCCTGCTCCAGAGCGACTCATCTGAGGGAGATTAGCTACAGTGCATCATTGTGGACAAAGGCCTAGGTTGATATTTTGCCACAATTTTGGTTCTCAGGTCCTCAGGACAGTTCTCGTCTCCTCTTTCTGTTGTCCAGCCCCAGGTGAGTTTACAGGAGCATCACATGCTTGTAACATTCTTATTTATCCGCAGTTGTGAAAGGGTGCCAATACTTTTGTCCAGCCCCCATTTTTGGAGGTAACAAAAGAAATGTTAAAAAAACATGAGCTTTAAACAAGTAAATCTGATATATGTTCCTTTCTATTTACTAATGCTAGCAGCATAAGGATTAGAAATAGTCAATGTTAATTGAGAGAGTGAAGTTCCACTATGAAGTGTAGTGCCACTTTTGAATTTTATATAAAAAAAAAAAAAAAAACTACCAGATTATTAAAAATTAAAAGCAGCTTTTGCCTTCAGTGTGGATCTTCCCCTTGCAGTAATAAATTTCCTACACTGTATGCTGTCAGTCTTCTGTGTTGAATGATGGCCAGCATCATTCAACCCACTGAGCCCAGGCAGTCATGGACCCTACCCCCCGGGGTTGTGGCTTTAGATCTACTTTAAAAATGCTTTTGTGCTTGTTTCTTGTTAAAGATTCTTATTGACATGAAGTTACTTGAGCCTGAAATAAAACCAGTGAATGTAAATGAGTCTATGCCATTTTATAGCACCAGTTACAGAGACAGTTGTGTGGTTTTGCTTATACTATTATTGTACACATTTACTTCATGCTGAAAAATGACTGGTGCACAGCACTGACCACTGGCTCTCATTATTCTACAGGAACAGGCAGTTGATCGGGAACATGAACGAGATGTGTTTCAGCAGGAAATTCAAAAGCTTGAGCAGCAGCTGAAGATGCCACAAAGACATCAACCTGTTAACGACCATCAGAGTAATGAGGTGAGATGGAGCAAAGTGCTTCATACTGTGCACAGATTTTATTTTAGTTTTTGATAGAGTTGGGAAGGGCTACAACTTGTCAACTTTTTATTGCTATCCCTCCTTGAAAGACTTCCCTTTACGTTCTTTTTGACAAAACAGGAAGTAAGAAAGGATCCTATCACTGACAGAAAATGAAATTGTAGGAAACCCCCCAACAGGTATACAAATAGTAAATACAAAAGGGATAACAGGTGCATGATGTGGCAGTCCATGTATGTTTGATGAGTTCCAAATGGGCAGGGGTGAAGGTAGTCCAGTAGGCACTAAGGGCAAGCTGCGTAAGAGCGAAGCATAACTCTGCAGAAGGGAAACAAACACAGCATTTCTAAGTGTGTACTGTGAAGGTATTTAATAGAAAGATAAGTAGTAACTCACATCTTAGAATTTAAAAACAGGCTCATGGGTAAGAGGGTGAGACGTCTGTAGCCAGATGTTGTTGTGTGTCTGATCCAGAGAGGAGGTCGATTGAGTCTGCCAGCAGGTGGTGCTGTGCATGTGCAACATGGATGGTAAGCCTGGTGGAATCTCCAAGTTGTCTGCCAGCAGATGGTGCTGTGCATATGCATCATAGATGGTGAAGCCTGGCAGAGTCTCCAAGATGTCCGGGATCAGCACATGAGCCGTATGACGTCATCAAAATGCGACCCGTTTCTGAGCATGTGCAGGATGAGATGCGTCCAGGCGTGCTCTTTCATCAGGAAGGGCAAATAGTAATAAAACATACTAAGTGACCAAGGAAGGTTGTATAACTTTTGTCAGGTTTTCATAGTTTGTATCCACACGTGCAATGTAGGACCAACATTGTAAGTGTGAACGCCGATGGCCTACCCACAACCCAGAGCATTACAGGGAAGTGGAAAGTGCTGGCTGTGGGGGGGAGCAAGGGATAAGGTAAGTTACACTGGGGATTATTTACTAAAACTGGAGAGTGCAAAATCTGATGCAGCTCTACATAGAAACCAATCAGCTTGCAGGTTTTATTACCAAAACTTAATTGAACAAGCTGAAGTTGGAAGCTGATTGGTTCCTATGCACCGCTGCACGGAATTCTGAGTGCACCAGTTTTAGTAAATCTCCCCCACTGCTTTTTCATAGTACTCTAGACAAAAACAGGTATTTAACCCTTGCGGTGCTTTAAGATGAATCCTGTGGCCTGAAGTATGTGTACTCACTTTAAATGATTGAGTTTGTGTTTCTGCCACAGCCACTCTTAACTGGTAATTAAAAAAAAAAAAAAAAAAAAGTACAACGTGAACAGTTCTGGATCGCAGATGAGTATTGGGATTTAATTAATCTAAAAAGATCTTCTTAGGGAAAAAAAAAAAAATCTTAATTTCTGTAAAATAAAAGGTAAAAATTCTAGTAGAAATTAAATGTTTCTCTCCAGTACAGGTCATAGGCATGCATGTTTTGTACCTTTTGATCATTAAACTATAGACATAAGTGACGGAAATCATAGGGTTGCCACTTCATCCCTTTTAAAACCGAACACATATTAATTACACAGGTTCTGTGACTGATTAAGGTGGTAATTAAATTCACTTGGTGCCTTATCTGCATTACATTAGCCTCAGAACCTGTGTAATTAATGTGTTCGGGTTTCAAGGGATGAGGTGACAACCCTAGGAAATCATTTTATTGTTTGTGCTACTTTGGACAGGTGGAGAAGCTGGAGGGTCACCTGAAAGAGAAGACAGACAAGTGCAGTGAACTCTTGTTGTGTAAAGAGCAGCTCCAGCGTGATGTTCAGGAGAGAAATGAGGAGATCGAGAAGCTTGAGTGCCGGATACGAGAGCTGGAGCAGGCTCTACTGATCAGTGCCGACACTCTGCAAAAGGTATTATTCATGTAGAGATGCTTGCTCTGACAGCCAAATAATCATTAATGGCACCCCAAACACATCTAACAAACGTTCGTGTGCATTCCATTATTGACAGCCCGTTCATTTGGAAATGCGCCTTTTCTGTTCTGGTGTGGAAAGGTCTGTCAAGAACAGATTGCACAAAAACACACATGCGCTGCAGCATGCACCGGCCCTAAATGATGTTTCAGAGCCCATTAACACTGGAAAGCAGTAACTTTCCTGAACCACACGGGGAGTACGCTTCCCTTGTCAGATGTGCGCAAGTGCCATAAATTGTTAATGGCACCCCAAACACATCTAACAAGCTTAGCGTGTTTGCGTCCATCAAACCACATGGTACCACAGTACCATACAAAATTGCACACATTTTTGCACATTCCTGTGCCTTTTGCATCCCATGGAAATGAATGAACAGTCAAAAGCAAAATGTTCATCCACGTTCCAGTGTGAATCAGCCCTTACTGAATACAGAACTGCATTACTTTGGGTCTTTTATACCTGCCTGGAGTTCATCTTCAAGTTAAATAGGAGCTATTGATGGTTATGCTAGTTTTGGCCATGTATGGAATCCAGCTAAGGCACTTAATTTACATTACATCTTCTATAATAGCAAGCTGAACACATGGCATGTGATGAGAATGGAAAGGGTGTCTTACAGGGAAAATATTTTTTGGATTGTAGGTGTACATGGGGAGAGAGAATATATTTATTCCAGAGTTCAGCTTTAAATGTTCTGCTCAGTAAACCAACCATTACACGACAGTCAAAAAATACATTCAATAAATAATTATCCGCGCTCTAATATTACCGTGCCAATGCTATATATTATATAATACCATAGCAATACCATTAATTTATATATGCTGTGATAATATCATTTTATCAACTTTTTACCTGGATTACCTAAATTAATCTTATTATATTATCCTAGTGCTTAATAAAGCTTAAAAATAAAAAGTGTGTAATTAAATTCAATTATGATATTTGTACAATGTGATTATCTCGTTAAAAATAAATAAATTAATAAAATTCACTGTGCAAGTGTGAAAATCAACTGAATATAAATAAATACAAAATAATGAAAAAATTGTATAAATAATCCAATGTGCAAATGATGCAAAGCAAACAATAAATTGTATATATATTAGTGAAATATAAATAAATAAAATAATAAAAAGAGAATTAAAAAATATATCAGTTCATAAAGTTCAGCAGCAAAAATGTGCACAAAAGAAAAATGTGCAAAAAAGTTTTTTTTAGGGTTCAGCAGGAAGTAGATATTGGTGATATATATATTCATCTTATAATATTTGTCAAAAAATACATTTGTAGTGGTAATGAGTTTAATTTTTTTACAAGGTATCAGAAAAGGCAGACTCGCTTCCAGTTCTGATATAGAAAAACTCTCTCATATATGTTTGATGCCCTGAATGGGGGAATTGAACAGCTGCTGTAGCATTAATGTGGACCACTAATATGTTCTATGTCTGTTTTGGTACTTGCTGATGCTTATCTGCTGCACTGAATGTTGGAAACTTACTGAACCCCCAGTTATACAAGCACTTTTGTTACTTGAGGGCCATGTTTTTGAATACTGTCGCTATGTAAATTTTATAGAAGTTCGTCTGCTTACATCTCCGTGCACATTCTGCAACTGTGCTTCAACCATTGTCCCGAATGTCATTTTCTAGGTGGAGGACAGAAGACCGTCTTTTGCTGGGGCAAAAGGAGAAATGCCTCTTGAAGCTCAGCTCCAGGTAGAGAGAGAGGCCATAGACCGAAAAGAGAAGGAGGTGAGTTTTTTCCTTTGTGCAGTCTGGAAGAGCAAAATGATGACGTTACAAAATTCATTCATTGACATTTCCCACGACCCAGACATAGCTATCCAATCTAAACCTCACCAGAGCTGTTAAATATTTTCCACAGCTCCCTAAGTCCTCATGCACACTGGATGTTTTTACAGTGGCTGTTTTTGGCTTTTGATGTTTTTTTTTTTTCTACAGCTAGTAAACTCCCCAGCATGTTCTCCTATGTGTCCATACACACAGACTGTAATCAATGTTTTTTGGCTGGAAAAAAAACCCAGGACTAGTGGGTTTCTAGAGGAGTTTTTTAGCTGTAAAAACGCTCGAACGCTGAAAAACACGGTAAATCGTGCAAACCAGTGTTTTTGGACTTTTATTTTTTTTACTAAAAACCGCCATCACCACTAAACGCTACTACAAAAATGCTAAGAAATGCTGAAAAACTCAGATTTTTAACATGACTTTACAAAGTTATTAAAACGCCATGTGTGCATGGAACCTAAATGCAAAACATAGGCTGAACTACAAACGTAGCTAATGATATACCTAGTAAAAAATGCAGAGCACATAGCGCATTGCAGCAAACCTGTCATTTATTTCAAACTTTCAGAAGTGAATGGCTTGTCCTAATAGAGAAGTTACCCCAGTGTGCCTGCTGTTATCTTTATTAGCCGGAAAAACATAATCTGCGCCCTCTGTGATGTCATTTAACCTCTTTTGCGCTAGACGCTTGACTTCCCCAAATTCTGTGTTAAACCCAGCCCAACACTGCCATCCTTCTATCTAGTGAGAGCACTTCAGTGACCATTAAAAGGTAAGTTCACCATTTAGACAAAAATAATAAATGCACATTTTTTTTTTGTAGGTAAAAAAATGTGCATTTATTATTTTTGTCTACAGGAGCCTGGAAAGCATTGCATCAGCATCAAATCATTGATTCTTCCTGTCAGTATATCCGCTTGCTCGTACATCCCATATGGGCAAGCAGATATACTGACAGGTATGCTGGAGACCTTCATTGCACCAGCGATCTGCTGATCACTGGTGCAATGCTCTAGAGCAGGGGTGGCTAACCTGTGGCTCTCCAGCTGTTGTGGAACTACACATTTCCCATGAGGCATTGCAAAGATGGGAAGTTACTGACTTGCAGAGGCATGATGGAACTTGTAGTCCTGCAGCAGCTGGAGAGCCGCAGGTTGGCCACCCCTGCTCTAGAGGCTCCAGAAACACAATTATAAATGCACATTTTTTGCCTGCAAAAAAAATGTGCATTTATTTTTTTTTTTTTTTTTTGTAAAAAGGTGAACATATCTTTTAAGCTGGCTATACACTTAGGTTGTTATGTTTTGTTTTTTTCAGAAGGTTGAATGGGAAAAAAAAAGAACAGATTCCTTCATCCACACAAATGAGGTGGATGGAAGAACTCCCCTCCTCCATGACATCATCTCCCTCTGCTGTCAGCATACGCTGAGAAACGTTTTCCAGCATGTCACACTGATTTGATTTTGGGCAGTCCCTACTAAACTGGACGAATTTTGATCGACGTATAGCCAGCTTTAGAGTGAAGGGTTATGAGTGGATTAGGCAGTACTGATTTGCACTGGACTATATATTCTATAACATATTTCAGGCATCGGGAGCTAAAGGCATAGGTGTTATGGTGGAGCTTACAGGAAGTATGTCAGCAGTCTGATGATGGTGATATATGGTTTAGTGAGCAGGCCCATGATACAGAAAGAAGCATCTGGAAACTATGGTGTCATCCTGCTGCCTAGACGGCAAGATAGAAATATGTGAGTCACAAGTCTGGCTGAATACAATTGCAAATATTTTTACAGGGGACAGTTAAAGTGACCCTGTGGTGACAGGGTCACTTGTAACCAAAAAAATCTCCTGTAAAGAAGAGCATGCATACTTGCCTTTCCCAGTGGCCTATGTTTTCAAACTCTGCTGCTTCCTGGTCACTGCAGGCATTTCACACTTCAAATACCCAACCTCCTCTGCACCCCATGATTTTTCCCATCCAAACTCATAAGTCCTATAGTGGCTGTAGGGGCAGGTATTCACACTCCTGGAAGTGTAGAATACCTTCAAGTGCCATAGAGCTGCCAAAGTAACAGGAAAATATACTTCCTTTTCTTTTACAAGGTGGCCCTTATCTACAAATGACCCTGTGATGATCGACTCGCTTTTAAAAATGTTTTAACTGTTTATTTGGGCATTTGGTGGGCGGCACAGTGGCTTAGTGGTTAGCACGTCTGCCTTGCAGTAAATGGGTCATGGGTTCAATTCCTGACCATGGCGCCTCCTGCATGGAGTTTGCATGTTCTCCCTGTGCTTGCGTGGGTTTCTTCCGGGTACTCCGGTTTCCTTCCACACTCCAAAGACATGCTGGTAGGTTAATTGGCTCCTGTCTGAATTGTCCCTAGTATGTGTATGTATGAATGTGAGTTAGGGACCTTAGATTGTACGCCCCTTGAGGGTTAGGGACTGAGGTGAATGTACAGTGTGTGTGTGTGTGTAAAAAGTGCTGCGTAAATTGACAGCGCTATATAAGTACCTGAAATAAATAAAAATAAATAACTCTACTGTCATCGTTGACATGAGAAATGATCCGCATGGTTTGTTTTTGGTTTTTTTTTCAGCTGATTTTATTGCTTTGAATCTTCACTTTTTTGTCTCACAGGTCACCAACCTGGTGGAACAGTTAGAGCAGTTCAGGGAAGAGCTGGAGAATAAAAATGAGGAGGTACAGCAGCTGCACATGCAGCTGGAGATCCAGAGGAAGGAGTCCGCCACCCGTCTGCAAGAACTGGAACAAGAAAATAAAGTTTTAAAAGTGAGTTTCCCTCACGGTCCTAACGTTCAGGACTTAAAGTATAACCCAGCTAAAATCCTGCATGCTGTAAGAGTTAGAATGTTTGTTTGTGTTTGTTCTCTGTGACCCCATTGAGGAGATCTAACCTCACTATTTGTTATAAAAAAGGAAAACGTTTTTTTTATGGTCGGCACAGGAACAGAAGTAATATCTTTCTATGCCGGTGCCTGGCAAAGCTAAAGTTTCCTCCAATTTTTGAGAGGTTTACACTTCCTGTTGTGACTCTTGGCCCAGGAAGTGCAAAGTCCCTCAATGGTTAATCACACAATTACAAAAGCCAGATAGTTCTAATTCTTTCCAATACTATGCAAAAATAAGAACACGTTTTGGTTTAAGTACACTAACTAAATTCAGTACAGTAGACCTGCATCATTGTCACCCAAATGTTTGCTAATCTCTACATTGGAATGCTTTTCTGAAATAGATCTGTTCTGCTTTCTCTAAGGATGAGCTTGAAATGACACCACCTGAGGAGACTTCGTCAGCTGCCTTTAGACAAGGAAAAATGGATGATCTGTTACTCTCTAAAGACCAGGAAATCTTGCTTCTTGGTGAACAGATTAGAAAACTGCAAGCACAGCTTGAAGCTGCCACTGACAACAAGGTATTGGTACTGAGCATTTGTCAGGAATGTTGTTTCTGAAAAGCCTTAAAAGATGGAAAAAAGAAATACCCGGCCTTTCCAACTATTGTTTGTGTACACAATATATCCAAAAGTATGTGGACACCCCCCTCTAAATTATTAAGATCAGGGGATTTCCAAGGGTACTGTTAATTCTACACCATGCGACAACATATTGCACAATAGTGCACTTCCAACCTTGTGATTACAGTTTGAGGAAAGCCCTTTTCTGTCCAAGCTTGACTATGCCCTTGTGCAGAAAGCCTGCAACATAACAACTTGGTTTGACCAGTTTGTTGTGGAAGACTTCGAATTGATGCACAGAGCCCTGACCTCTACCCTACTTCACACCATTCAGATGAACTGGAATGCTGGTTGCGACCCAGCATTAGTAGCTGCTCTTTTAGCTGAATGGATACAAACTCCTACAGTCATACCCCAAAAGATTTTCAGAAACGTAGAGACTGTTATAGCCAAATTGGGAGGGGGGGGACGAAATTTTGGTGCCCATAGTTTTGGGATGGGCTGTCCACAAACTTTTGGCCACCTAGTGTACACATAACTTAGATGACAGAGATTGGATGACTTCAGAAAAAAAAAAAAAAGAAAAAAGTTTTTTTCTTTATATACCCTATCACAATGCTTATGTGCTAATATACACTATATTGCCAAAAGTATTGGAACACCCCTCCAAATAATTGGATTCAGGTGTTCCAATCACCTCCATGGCCACAGCTGTATAAAATCAAGCACCTAGGCATGCAGACTGCTTCTACAAACATTTGTTAAAGAATAAGTCGCTCTCAGGAGCTTGGTGAATATAAGCGTGGTCCCGTGATAGGTTGCCACCTGTGCAATAAGGCCATTCGTGATATTTCCTTGCTACTAAATATTCCACGGTCAGCTGTTAGTGGTATTATAACAAAGTGGAAGCAATTGGTAACAACAGCAACTCAGTCGTGAAGTGGTAGGCAACATAAAGTGGGGTCAGCACATGCTGAAGCACACAGTGCGCCGAAGTTGCCAACTGTCTGCAGAATCAAATAGCTGAAGACCTCCAAACTTGGTGTGGCCTTCAAATTAGCACAACAACAGTATGTAGAGCGCTTCATGGAATGGGTTTCCATGGCTGAGCAGCTGCATCCAAGCCTTACATCACCGAGTGCAATGCAAAGTGTTGAATGCAGTGGCGTAAAGCACGCCACCACTGGACTCTAGAGCAGTGGAGATGTGGTCTCTGGATTGACGAATCACGCTTCTCTATCTGGGTTTGGCATTTGCCAGGAGAACGGTACTTGCCTGACTGCATTGTGCCAAGTGTAAAGTTTGGCAGAGGGGGGATTATGGTGTGGGGTTGTTTTCAAGGGTTTGGGCTTGGCCCCTTAGTTCCAGTGAAGGGAACTCTTAAGGCAGCAGCATACCAAGACATTTAGGGCAATTTCACGCTCCCAACTTTGTGGGAACAGCTTGGGGATGGCCCCTTCCTGTTCCAACATGACTGCACACCAGTGCACAAAGCAAGCTTCAATAAAGACCTTGATGAGTGAGTTTAGGGTGGAGGAACTTGACTGACCTGCACAGAGTCCTGACCTCAACCCGATAGAACACCTTTGGGATGGATTGGGGATGGGGCTCAGGAGCGAGCATGCATGAATTTCCTCATAGGAAGCTGCTTTCTATGGGGGCACTCGGTAAAGGGGAGGACCCAGAAGCACTGGCAGGGGACTCGAGAAGAAGCGAAACAGGGCTACTCTGTGCAAAACCAATGCACAGAGCAGGTAAGTTTAACATGTTTGTTATTTTAATAAAGTAAAAATTAAAGCTTTACAATCACTTGCAAGAATGCAAGAGATGGTGTGGCAACCGCCCAGGATGGGTTAGAACCTGTGGTTGCTTCTCTTAGCGTTCACAAAATGCCACTGAGAGAGAGTCAGATAAAATAACACACTTAAACTTTCAAAAAGTATGTCATTTGCTTTGTTTGTTTTTCTTTAGTCTTTTTATAATTAAACTGACTAGTAGTTTTTTTGGGTTTTTTTACAGATGATTGAAGAAAATAATGAAAAAATTAAGCAATATAAGAGCCAAATTAAGTGTTTGAAAAGCGATCAGGAACGTCTGAAAAAGAACAGTGAGGAAGAGATAGAAAAACTAAATGAAGTTATAGAGAAACTTCAAGAGGAATTATCTCTTATAGAGCCAAAAGTAACTGTGAGCTTTACTAGCATGGCTGAGATAACTGGCAGCAGCACATACCAGCCTGCAGATCTATCACCACTGGCTGAACATGCTAATTCGAATGTGGACAACATAGTGTTCGATCATAAGGAAGATGAAATGGAGGAACAGTTTTCAACTTCCTCAAAAGTAACTCAAAGTTCCGTTCTAGACATGGAAACTAGTCTGCAACAGCTCCAGGAAACTATTAAAGATAATGATCTGACTTTGAAGCAGTATTATGAACAAGTTATGACACTCAAAGAGGAGACCAAAGTATTGAATGAGACTGTGGAAAGTCTAAGGTTAGAATTGGCACAGAAAGATAAAAAAGTAAAAGATACCGAAATTTCCAAGAACCTTCCCAGCTCTATAGGCCTAGAAACATCAACATATTCTCCTTTAGATAGAACAGATCTGACTTTCATGAACACTGAATTGGAAGCAACCAAAGCAGAACTGATACAGGTCAAGGAAGAGCTGGAAAAACTGAAAGCATCTTCAGAAAACACCATTCTCAATGAGCTGGGTACCATCAGATCAAAAGAGGAAATTGATATAAATTATACATCTAGTATTGAGAATTTGACTGAAGCTTTGAGAGAAAAAACTGCTCAGCATTTGGCCGTTGAAGCTTTGCTTGGGTCGGTGCAAGAAACTTCCCAGAATGCAATTTATCATTTGCAATGTCAGGTGCAGGATCTCCAGAAAGCTGTTCAAGAGAAGGAATCACAGCTACAAGAACTAGCACACAATGCTCAGGTCCTTGAAAACCAGGAGGTACAGCGACTGAATGAGGTCATCAAAAGGTTGCAGTTGGATTTGATAGAGGTAAATGAGAAGATTTCAGAGGGAGCTAAACATACAACAAAGGATGGAGAGAGCCAGACAACCCATAATGAAACATCTAATGCAAATGCAGCATCATTGCATCAGAAGATCGAATCTGATGATGAAAAGGCAGCTCTGTCAAAGGAAGTTGAGGATGCTAAGAAAGAGCTAACTCTTTTGAAAGAAGAGCTAAAGTATCTAAGAGAATCTGAAAAAAATAGTGACAAATCTGAAGGAAATGGATTTAGGGAAGATGGTACCAGGCATTCAGACCTTGATGTAACTGATCCAGAAAGTTCTGCAGCTAAAGAAACAATACAAGAAGTAGTGGGCCAGTACTTGCCTGCAGAAACACTAAAGACCACACTGACTGCTGAAATAAATATGGAGTCACAACTTCAGGAACTTAAGGAAGTTATAAAACTAAAAGATTTGGAGTTGCTGCAGTATGTAAATCAAAAAGATTTGCTTCATGATCAAGCACAGAAAATTGAACAGTTAAATGAAGAGATTAGAAAACATAAGCAGGATTTGGCAGAGGCAAGTTCTGATCTAAAGATAAATGCCACAACAGGTTTAGTAAATTCTAAAGAAAGGTTGGAAAACAAAGAGAATGTTGAACTGGATAAAGCAAAGGCAGAACTCGAGAAAAGAGAAAATGAACTTGCTGTTTTGGTGGAAGAACTGGCAAATCTGCAGATGGCCCAAAAACACGATGATGTGACTGTTAAAAGTGCCTCCACACAGGTTGATGTAGCCACAGCAGCACTTACAATGACTGATCCAGAGCAAGCATTGAGGGTAAAGGCTGCAGAACTCTTAGAAAGTCAAAAGTTGAATGTATCTTTGGAAGAAACCACTCAGGCTACTATTCATAAAATGGAGTTGAAGTTGCAAGAACTTCAAAAAATTGTTGAGCAGAAGGATTTAGAACTACAGCAGTATGATCAGCAAAAAGATCTACTTCATGATCAAGCACAGAAAATCGAACAGTTAAATGAAGAGATCAAAAAACTTACGCAGGATTTGGCAGAGGCAAGTTCTGATTTTAAGATAAATGCCACAACAGGTTTCGTACATTCTACAGAAAGTTTGGAAAACAAAAAGAATGTTGAACTGGATCAAACTAAGGCAGAACTTGAGAAAAAAGAAACAGAACTTGCCGTTTTGACGGAAGAACTGACAAAACTGCGGATGGCCCAAAAACATGATGATGTCACTGTAAAAAGTTCCTCCACACAAATTGATGTGGACAAAGCAGCACTCACAGTGGCTAATCTAGAACAAGCATTGAAGGAAAAGGCAGCAGAACTCTTAGAAAATCAAAAGTTAAATGTATCTTTGGAAGAAACCATTCAGGCTACGATTCGTGAGAGGGAGTTGCAGTTGCAAGAACTTCAAAAAGTTGTTGAGCAGAAGGATTTAGAACTACAGCAGTATGATCAGCAAAAAGATTTACTTCATGATCAAGCACAGAAAATCGAACAGTTAAATGAAGAGATCAGAAAACTTAAGCAGGATTTGGCAGAGGCAAGTTCTGATTTTATAATAAAAGCCACAACAGGTTTTGTAGATTCTAAGGAAAGTTTGGAAAACAAAGAGAATGTTGAACTGGATCAAACTAAGGCAGAACTTGAGAAAAAAGAAACGGAACTTGCCGTTTTGGTGGAAGAACTGACAAAACTGCGGATGGCCCAAAAACACGATGATGTTACTGTAAAAAGTTCCTCCTCACAAATTGATGTGGACAAAGCAGCACTCACGGTGGCTGATCTAGAACAAGCATTGAAGGAAAAGGCAGCAGAACTCTTAGAAAATCAAAAATTAAATGTATCTTTGGAAGAAACCATTCAGGCTACGATTCGTGAGAGGGAGTTGCAGTTGCAAGAATTTCAAAAAGCTGTTGAACAGAAGGATTTAGAACTACAGCAGTACAGCCAGCAAAAAGATTTACTTCATGATCAAGCACAGAAAATCGAACAGTTAAATGAAGAGATCAGAAAACTTAAGCAGGATTTGGCAGAGGCAAGTTCTGATTTTATGATAAAAGCCACAACAGGTTTTGTAGATTCTAAGGAAAGTTTGGAAAACAAAGAGAATGTTGAACTGGATCAAACTAAGGCAGAACTTGAGAAAAAAGAAACGGAACTTGCCATTTTGGCGGAAGAACTGACAAAACTGCAGATGGCCCAAAAACACGATGAAGTCACTGTAAAAAGTTCCTCCACACAAATTGATGTGGACAAAGCAGCACTCACGGTGGCTGATCTAGAACAAGCATTGAAGGAAAAGGCAGCAGAACTCTTAGAAAATCAAAAGTTAAATGTATCTTTGGAAGAAACCATTCAGGCTACGATTCGTGAGAGGGAGTTGCAGTTGCAAGAACTTCAAAAAGCTGTTGAACATAAGGATTTAGAACTACAGCAGTATGATCAGCAAAAAGATTTACTTCATGATCAAGCACAGAAAATCGAACAGTTAAATGAAGAGATCAGAAAACTTAAGCAGGATTTGGCAGAGGCAAGTTCTGATTTTATAATAAAAGCCACAACAGGTTTTGTAGATTCTGAGGAAAGTTTGGAAAACAAAGAGAATGATGAACTGGATCGAACTAAGGCAGAACTTGAGAAAAAAGAAATGGAACTTGCTGTTATGGTGGAAGAACTGACAAAACTGCGGATGACCCCAAAACACGATGGTATGACTGTAAAAAGTTCCCCTGCACAAATTGATGTGGACAAAGCAGCACTCACGGTGTCTGATCTAGAACAAGCATTGAAGGAAAATGCAGCAGAACTCTTAGAAAGTCAAAAGTTAAATGTATCTTTGGAAGAATCCACTCAGGCTACTATTCACAAGATGGAATTGCAGTTGCAAGAACTTCAAAAAGTTGTTGAACAGAAGGATTTAGAACTACAGCAATATGTTCAGCAAAAAGACCTGCAAAACCAGCAGATGAAAGAAAATGAGCAGCTGAATGAGAATAATATTCAGCAGGAACTGGCCCAGAGTGGTTTTCATGTCCACTCCAGAGACACAGTTGTGCACAGAGAAAATGTATTGCCTCAGAAAACAGGATTCGAAAGAGAAGAACTCATGCAAACAAAGGCAGAGCTTGAGAAAGCAAAAACAGATCTGGCTGTTTTGAAGCAAGAGCTTTCAAAAGGTAATTCGGCTGAGAAATATGGCAGCGTAGATAATGGGAACACATCTAGAAAGGATGAAGCAGAACTTCAACTGAGTAATCTAGAGCAAGCTCTTAGAGAAAAAACAGCAGAACTCCTAGAAAGCCAAGCAGTGCTTGTATCTCTGGATGAGACCACACAAGCTACCATCCATAGCCTGGAGTCAGAGTTACAAGCCCTTCAGAAGACAATACAACTGAAAGACTCAGAATTGTTGCAATATATAAACCAAAAAGATCTAATAGATCAACAAACAAAGGAAATTGAGAGACTAAAAAATGTAATTAGCATGAACATGCATAATTTAGAAGATGCTGGGCCTGATGTCAGGAAAGATGAAGAAAGGTGTAGGGAAGCATTACAGGAAAAGAATTGTTTTTGCAAAATAAGGCAAGTTTGGAAGGTAGTGAGCTGGTTCAAACAAAGGCTGAGCTTGAGAGAACAAAGATGGAAATGGCTTATATGTCAGAGGAAATAACAAAAATTAGATTGTCTCAGAAAAAAGAAGACATGACAGATAGCAACTCAACTAAGGAGGGGGAAGTTGGAAAAACAGCACATAAAGTCACCAATCTAGAGCAGGCACTGAGGGAGAAAACAGCTGATCTTTTAGCAAGCCAAACATTGCTTACATCTCTGGAGGAAACCTCACAAGCAACCATACACAATATGGAATCACAGTTACAAGAACTTAAGAAAGCTGTACAGCTGAAGGATTCAGAATTATTGCATTATTTGAATCAGCAAAACATACTCAACCAGCAAACTAAAGAAATTGACCATTTAAATGGTGTCATAGACTCCCTCCAGAAACAACTAGAAGAAGCACAACAGAGGACCTCTTTAAGTGCTGTACAAGAATGCAAATCTAAAAAGCTAGAGTTGACAGATCAAATGAATGGTGGTGAAGTGACCTTTATTAAGACATTAGATGCCAAAGCTGACAATGAGTATGAGGAACAGTTTGGACAACTGTATAGTACTCGGGAAAAGATGAACACTCTAGACACTAGTAAAAGAATGTCTGATGGCGATGTGACAGCTGTTATGGAGAACAAAGACCAATGTGATTGGATGATAGAAGCTTTGAGAGACCAGAACACACAACTCCTCTCAAACCAGTCTTTATTTACATCGGTGCAGGAGACCATGCAAAGTACAATAGACAGCTTAGAGACTCAGCTGGAGGAACTCCAGAAAGTTGTAAAAGAAAAAGACATGGAGATATTGTTGTATTTAGAAGAAATGGAAACACTCAAGGAGCAAGTGAAGGTCAAAACTGATGAATATGATCAGATAATGTTGGCCATGGAGGACTCGCTCAGGGAAAAAGTGGCTGCTGCTCTTGTAAGCGAAGCCCAACTCAAAGCCATTCAGTTACACACCAAACATATGCATGCAGATGACAGATCTTCTGCTGTGATGGAAGAGTCCAAACTATTGAAGTCTTATGGTCCTAACCTCTCTCAAGAAGGGGAGTCTGAGTCAAAGTCAGTTGTCCTCAACCTACAACTTCTAGAACTAGAGAAGCAGCTGACTGATCTCCATGAACAGCTTCAGGTAGAAAGAGATCAGGTTATCTTCACTAACCAACTAGCTGCTGAAAAGGAAAAGCAAGTGGTTGAACTGCAGCAACTCTTGAAGAACCGAAAGGAGAAACAAAGCATCACGTGGGCAGCAACTGAAACCAGAGATGTTGCTCTGTTACAGGTAATCAGTCTACTGATCTTGAGCTAATGAAGATGTTGGAGAATTCATGATTTATTTTCTGTTTATCAGATTTCAGAACCAATCTCTCAACAGAGGTATTTAAAGCAGAAGTGTAAACAGATAGAACAATCTTTCTTCCACCTCTGTTTTATATTAATTTTTAACACAACATTTTGTAGCAAAGGGACCTGTAGGAGGGCATACAGGTAGTGAGCAAAGCCAACAAAAGAGAATATATACCATAAACCGCCATGTTTATTGTACAAAATGTAAAAGTGACATAGTAGTGACCATATCCACGTTCCAGTTTTTACAGAGAAGGTCCACATAAGAAGTTCGACACATTTCGAAAACACTTTCTTCTTCAGGAGCGCATGTGAACACATATGTCCAAAAATGTGGGTCGATGCATTTAAAACCATGTCATGAGACCTTATTCAGGTAAGTCAGTATACATGATGACACAGCTGGGAGCATAAAAAAGAATCATGAACCAATGCCCATGAACAGCTCCCATAATGGATGTGTGGTATATGTAAGATTATGCAAATACTACTGTACCACTATAATCTTCATGGGTTGTGTCCCTCTACTATTTGATCACCATGCACCCATAGACACCAATTGATGCTCTTACTTTCTACATACAAAGACCTCACTCATATGGATGATATTTTGTGGTATTTGCTGCTGCCAAATGTGTGAATTTATGATCCTTTATATGCTCCCTGCTCCTTTATCATGTATGCTGACTCACCGGAATAAGATCTCATGACATTGTTTTAAATGCATTGACCCATGTTCTGGGACATTATATGTGTTCACATGCGCTCCTGTAGAAGGAGTGAATTATATCTGGGTACATTGCATAGATATGGTCACTACTATGTCAGTTTTAAATTTTTGTACAATAGATTTGGCATTTTATGGTACATTTTCTCTTTTATCGTCTTTGCTCACTACCTGTATGGCCTCCTACAGTCCCTTTGCTACAAAATGTTTTGTGTTTTATATATATTGGTGCGATGTGGACAGAACAACATGCTATCCTCTTCTTTAAAAATCTTTAGCCGTATGTACCCTAGCTTTTTTTTTTTTTTTATATCTTATGCAGTAGGATTCAAAGTTGGATAGAAATGGGTTGCTTTGTAAAGCTAGCCATATACACTTCAAATGTCTTATGCTTAGCCTCACAGGCTGAACTAGAGTAATTAATCAAATACAGTAGCTGTTCTACTCAGCAGCTGCATCTAAATAGGTACAAGCGCTGTTTGGCCTAGGACATTGGTACCGCTTCTTCAGAAGTCAACTGAAAAATCAACTTTTGTTCATGAGGAAGGGCAGTGCAAACAGGGCCACCTAAAGCTTGAATTTCAGCTGATTCAGCAGGAATCGGCCAAAATTCAAGCAGTGTATGGCCTGCTTAAGGCTTCACTGTACTGCACTGCACTGCACAGTACACGGGATGCTGGTTGCTATGTTGCTGCTCCTTCACTTTCCAATCACAGGCAAGGATGGTCCTTGACCAACCTGTACTGCTTTTATTGCACTAAAGAAAAATTCGGCCAGAACGGGGCTTTGCTCTCAGAAAAAAATGTTTAGATTACAAAACTACTTGAACTAAAACATAGGGGGGGTTTTTTATGGAAGGTAAGATTTAACATCACAATTTTCCTAGTAATTAAGGTGTATTTTTTGTTGACTCTGTTGTCATTCTTAACTAACCCTGATAATTGTCCATTGGCTACTACTCATTTTTGTTATTCCTTGTTTGAAGGGAAGGACAGAGCAGTCCAGTGAAAATACAATCACTGACCTGGAACACCAGCTTCATACACTTGCTGAAGAGGCAATAGCTACCAAAGACGAACTGTGCCATTACAGGGAGATGTCAGAGAAATTAAAAGAGGAACTGATGGTGGGCGAAACACAATTATGGTCTTCACTTATTAATTTTTGCAGTATGGAACTATTTTATGCTGTCTACAATATGCGTTGGAGTTTTAAAGGATAAGTTCACCTTTTGGAACATGTTACATAGTTAGTCTGGTTGATAAAAGACCATCTAGTTCCAATAAAAGGGGAAAAAAAATATCATACATTCCATATACATAATCCTATACCCACGATTGATCCAATTTGCTCCAGCAGGGGGAAAAAATCCTTCCTGATCTCCCAAGAGGTGATCAGATATTCCTTGGATCAGCTTTACCTATAAATATTAGTATCCAGTTATAAAACAATCTACCAAGATGGCCAAAACCAGCTCCTGAGTGAGTCTATTCCACATTTACACTGCTCTTACTGAGAAGAAGACTTTCCATATTTGGAGATTAAATCCCATTTTTATGGTGGAACATGTAATATTTTCCACCAGCTGCAGCCTCTTCCCTCTCTCTGTGACAGTGGGTGGGGGTTCTTCTCTTCATGCCCACTGTCACAATTTGAAAATACTGCGGCTGTGCATGGCTCCGCCCCCACGGCCACATCAGTCATTCACAGTTTCCTATGAAATACCGTCAGCCTTTGCTTTTAGTTCTCAATGAACTGTGAGGCCACTGGTGAACACTCTCACAATCCATTGAGCTTCCTGGAATTCAGTTACTCCCTGTCCGTATTGGCGATACAGGCAAATAGTGTACTTGACAGTCTTCAAGAGCCTGACATTGCACCCATGATTCATTGATCACAGGTGCGATGTTTTACAGGCTCCCAAGGAAAAAATCAACTCCAGACCTTTTACCTGCTTAATTGATGAAGAAATAACAAATGTGTAGCCCACACCTGGCCATGAAACCGCTTTTGATTCAATTTTCCAATTACTTCTGGTCCCTTGAAAAAGGAGGGATGGCTACTCTTAAGAGCTGCAATCCCTAAACCCTTCCTCCAGTTTGGATGTACATACCTTCAAATTAAACCTGAGAGTGTACACTTTCAGCCCATATCCATTATACAACTATAGCTTGAATATATTCTATATATATATATATATATATATATATATATATATATATATATATATATATATATATACACACAGAGAGAGAGAGAGAGAGAGAGCGAGGGCCCCTCCTAACCCTCTCATATTTAACTGTATTGTTGCTGTATTGTCTCCTGTTACATTGTAAAATGCTGCGCAAACTGTTGACGTTATATAAATCCTGTATAATAATAATTATATACACACATACATACATACACACACTCACCAGCCACTATATTAGGTACACTTTGCTAGTGCCAAGAACATATCCCCCACACCATTACACCACCACCACCAGCAGCCTGAATCGTTGATACAAGGTAGGATGGATCCATGCTTTAATGTTGTTTACTCCAAATTCTGACCCTACCATCTGAATGTCGCAGCAACCAGGCTGCCCATTCCCCTCTGACATCAGCAAGGCACTTTTGTCTACACAACTGCTGCTCACTGGGTATTTTCTTTTTCGGACCATTCTCTGTAAACCTTAGAGATGGTTGTGAGTGAAAATCCCAGTAGATCAGCAATTTGTGAAATACTTAGACCAGTCTGTCTGGCACCAACAACAATGCTACCTTCAAAGTCACTTAAATCCCCTTTCTTCCCCATTCTGATGCTCGATTTGAACTTCAGAAGGTCGTATTCAGATGTCTAGATGCCTAAATGCATAGACTTGCTGCCATGTGATTGGCTGGTTAGCAATTTATTAGGTACACCTGTTCAATTGCTTGGTAACACAAAGTGGCTGGTGAGTGTGTGTAGATATACACAGTATATTATTTTCTATTTAATTTTTTTTTTTTTTTTTTTAAGAAAGTGAACTCATCCTTTTAAATGTCAACTGCATCCCACGCTAATTATGAGTTGGCCTAGGCACTCCCCTTCACATCTCTTGTGCTTCATTAGTCAGTGATCCTAGCTACATTATCACAATAATGATCCATTTAGGAAGCTGTGGGAGGGGTTCTCCTGCGCTTGACTTAGGAAGTAAAGTTCATATTGGCATTGTTGGGAACTTCAGATTTTGGTGCTCCCATTTGCACAAAAAGATTTCTTAAGATGCCTTTATATGCGTACTTTACAATCCCACTGTCATTGTAGAATCACTAATCTAAGCACATGATCAACAGCTCCGTATTGCAAAAAACATCCTGCTTTTGTACTACACTGGAGTTCTTATAGATACCACCATCTTGTATGTATGCTCACCTGGCAGTAATAGGATAGTTGAAATGCCACTGAGAAGAGATGGAGCTAATAAAACATTGGAGGAGGAATGTATGTCTTTACCTTTTTACTATGAACAGGAAACCTTCAGTAACTACTTATTACCTATAACTGTGTTTCTCCAGGTAAAAGATTCTAGCTTAGTCCATCTGGAAGAAGACCTCAGAGAAGTAAAGAAATGTCTCTCCAATGCAGAGGAGAAGTTGGCATTTTACATGAAGCGAGAAATTCAGGAAGAGGAGCTCCAAAGCATGTCAGATATTGATTTACCATGTGTGCAGAGCCCGGACTGGACTACACTGGACAGAACCACCTCCTCCTCACAGACTGACAGAATCCCAAGTGTTAACAACAGCAACCAGACCTCTCATATCCCAAGGAAGCATGTTGGGGTCCAGAATGACCTGGAGACTGGGCAACTGAGCAGTTCCTCTGATGAGGTTGCAGAAATAATGGAGCAGTACACGGAGAAGATCAGCCAAATGCAGGAACTCCATGCTGCCGAGATCCTGGATATGGAGTCCAGACATATTTCAGAAGCAGACTCTCTAAGGAGAGAACAGTACACCGTTGTTCAGGCTCTTACAGATGAGTGTGACGCTTTGAAAGCTGTTATTGAAGCCCTGAAATCTCCTGTAAGATTTTTCCTTATGTCTACAAAATGGTTAAATTACTTTAAAATGCACATATTGCCAAAAGTTGTGAAAATACATTTTATGCCAATGTTTGTCTATGGAGATTGCTTGGCCTCGTGCTTGATTTTAAGTACCGGTTTACCATGGGTGAGGCTGAAACGCCTGATTTCAATAAGTTTGGTGGCGTGTGTACACCTACTTTTACCCTAAGCGTTTTCTGCAGCGTTTTGCATTTTGCAGAAACGCAGTACAGACCATTTAACATGATTTCCTATGGGACATGTTCACACCTGTGCATTTTCACATGCGTTTTTTGGAAAGGGTCAGGGACATTTTTGAACCTTCTTTAAACTTCAATGGAAATGCTGCAGAAAAACATGCATTGCGTTTTTGCCACTTTTTAAATCTGCATAGCAACAAGAATTTTTTTTTAAAAAAAAGAAAAATGCATCAAAAACATGGCAAAAACACAAGTGCAAATATGAAACGCAATGCATAAACCGCTCAAACGCAACATACATAGGTGTGAACCTAGCCTTAGCCATATCTGTGCACGGAAAGAATTGTTATGCAGGTAGAGGCCACCATAGACATAAGAAAGCGATTGGACTTTAAAACTTGAATCAACTACCCATGGGCATTTATAACATTTTGCAACGGTTTATGTTGGGGCTATGAAGATAAGATAGACTGGCTCATTGCTGGCACTTCTGGGGCCGACTTATCAGGAGGAAAACCATCTAATCACTGCTTCCCTGATGAGCCATTGCCAGCACCCAGAGACATTAAACTGTTCCTACCAACCTAATGCATACATGTGGTTGGGCACTAAAGCCGAGTTGCCACACATGCATCCATGGGGCTACATTGTTGTCAGCTGAGAAATAGCTCCCAGCACACTGACTGAGCTGCCACTGATGGCCTCCAGTCGCCATTTTCAACCAGGAGCCAGTGGGATGGGTTTCTGGCCATGTGACAGCCAGTCACCATGATCACATTATCAGTTTTTCCACCACTTAAAGGGCTGCTGGGAGGGCGGCTCCTGTCAGGTTTTTGCTGCTATGGTTCTTACAGTTGTCTGGGGCTCCATTTTAATGAGATTTTTTCACCCACTTCCCATCCTGCTGACAACAGTTTCATCAGACATTAGTGAGGTTAAAATCTGCATCAGGAGCATAGAAATAGAAAACAGAATGTGTTTTTTAGCATTTTTGCATTCTCGTTTTGCTGCTTTTTTCACGTTTGCGGTCTTTTAGCAGTTTTTTTGCTCAAAAACAAAAAAAATCCAAAAACGTTTTTCAATGTTAGAGCATTTTTACAGTTAAAATACTCCTCTAGAAACCCACTAGTTCTGGGGTTGTTTTCCAGCCATAAAACACCCCTGCCAAAAAACGCTGATTACAGTTTGTGTGCATGGACACCTAGGATAGTATGCTGGGGAGTTTACTGGCTGTAGAAAAAAAACAAAACAGCAGCTGTAAAAACATCCAGTATGCATGAGGACTAAATCTCTGCCATTGTTAGCCCTGTTGAGGGATTTTTTCTCTTTCCGGCTCTATGTAAAACTAGGGGGAAAAAAAAGGTTTTTGGCTGAACATAAATTTTAAACCTTCCTGCCAGGGCAGACTAGTAGATTGTCATCAAATGGCTATACGCACCCTGGGAATGTTAGTTTGGACAATTACTTTTTGTGTATCTGATAACTCATAGTCATCTAATTCTGCCTTGTTTACTTACAGTTGCCTATATGTCTACCCCTATAACACTGTTACAGGGAATTCCGCATTCACGTAATATTTCGGACAGGTCATAATTTTGCCAACACTTTTTATTATTATTATACAGTATTTATAAAGCGCCAATAGTTCGCTCAGCGCTGTACATTACAAAGGGGGACAGAACATGTGACAGAACAAAACCAATACAATGCAAAACATGTGGGGATCGAGGGCCCTGCTCCTTGGAGCTTGCAATCTAGGAGGGAGGGGATAGTGGTACAGGAGGAGATAGCTGTGTGGGATGGTGTGGTAGGAAGAGTGGAGGAGGTTGGCAAGTTAGCAGGGGGTGGGGTAGGCTTCCCTGAAGAGATGGGTTTTCAGGGTGCGCCTAAAGGAGAGGAGAGTAGGTGATAATCTGATGGGTTGGGGCAGGGAGTTCCAGAGGATGGGTGACACCCTGGAGAAGTCCTGAAGGTGGGCATGGGAGGAGGAGACCAGGGAACTAGAGAGAAGGAGGTCTTGTGAGGAGCGGAGTGTGCGTGTTGGGCGGTACTTGGATATTAGGTCAGTGATGGAGTTCGGGGCAGTATGGTGGACGGCTTTGTACATCAGTGTTAGGATTTTGAATTTGATCTGTTGCGCAATCGGAAGCCAGTGGAGGGATTGGCAGAGGGGGGTGGCGGAGATGGAGCGGTTGGAAAGGTGAATGAGTCTGGCAGCCGTATTCAGGATGGACTGAAGCGGGGATAGCCAGCGGTGAGGCAGGCCAGTAAGGAGGGAGTTGCAGTAGTCGAGTCGTGATATGATGAGGGAGTGGATGAGCTGTTTAGTGGTTTCTGGGGTTAGGAGCGTGCGGATTTTGGCGATGTTGCGGAGGTGGAGTCTGCACGAGTTGTTTTATGCAATATTTATGTGCATTTTATGGGAAGCCTGTAATTTCCCTGCAACTATATTGAAGGTTCATCATTTCCGGGGAAGAAAAGCCCATTATGAAGCCTCAAACCTCTGATACTAGTAGGTTCCAGTAAAAATCTACCCTTGAGATGCTCAAGTTTTTAAAATTTAGCTTTCGTATTGCTGTGTCATAATGTTTAAGATTAACCAAATGCTTCAGTTCAGCATAGAACTCTGCACACATCTTGGTAAATAAGCCATTTATGTTTTATGCTTCAGGGAGGAGGAGGCGGAGTGCCTGATTCTGCGCTGTCCACATCGTATCACTTCACAGATGCTGCCTCTAGCGGTAAGACTTTTTTTTTTTTTTTTTCTTCCTGAATAGGGAACTTTTTGTATTTGGGATTTTTCTGTTAAATATGGCTATTTGCTTGCGACCCAAGAATCCTAATTTCTTACAGTTCATTTACACATTGAGCTTAAAGTCTTATGCTGCTACCATACCCATAAACACTTATGCACGCAGTAAGGCAAACACAGAACTTTTAAAGTAGAACTATAGGAAAACTTTTTTTTTTTTCATTTTTGATAGAGTAATAAAGGGATATAAGCCCTGTCCATTTTTTATGTCATCTTTGTCCCATTGGAGAGATTTAAATTCACTTCCTGTCTCATAGCTAAAACAGAAAGTGAGAGGAAATCCCTGCTAATTAAGGGAATCCCTTAGGACCCCCCAGGTCACTAGAACTAGTGTCCCCATTGGAAGATTTCCACTCTATTACTTTTCTGGGGAATACCCAAAATTTTAGATTTTTTTTTTATTTTCACTTTCAATGTTAATGGTAAAAACAGGACAAATAGAGAGGGGGAATCTCCCTAACGGGGCACAGAAAGTAATACAAAAATCCCTCTTCATTCTATCCAAAACAAAATAAAAATGTTTTGCCTTTAGTTATACTTTAAAGTCATTGTACTTGTGTCCATCCCTTAGTCCCATTGGAGTAGACATGAAATTAGTGGGTTTTACTTTATTCTGTACTGTAATATAAAATAGGGGAAGACCTACCCTCTCCTGATCTAAGTATATACCTCTTCAACATCACTTTCTTTCTTTTACTTTAAAGTACAAAATAAAGGCACCTTTATGACATTTATTTATTTTAAACACGTAAAGTACCAAGTTCACTTACTATGCGATGCACAAGGCTTATAAAATAAACAAAGAACTTCCTTTAACTTCCCTCTCTGAGCCAAATACTCCTTCATTTGTGTCTCAGACGCTCCCCCTCCCAGACACTGCAGCTCATACTGGACAGGTTTTTGCAACAAGTAGAGGCAGTGCTGTCAATCTATTAAAAAGTGGGCAGGATGAGGTGTAGCCAGGTGCTGAGTGACACAGGTACAGGTTGTGAATCAGCAGTGACAATGCTGATAGCCACATTCCCTGAAACATTGTTTCATTACTGCTGTAGTGCAAGTTGGCACAGCCTATGTGTTTTTGGGTGAGTCTACAGGGCAAGAATTTAAGTGGCCCAAATTGCAAAAAAGCTTGACAACAGCTCTGCCATCCTTTATCCAAAACGAAAAGCAAAGGTTTTTGGTTTTAGATATACATTACATGAATCTGTGTTCACCAGATGCAAAAAGCAGACACAGGTGCTTGCTGGAGTAGTCGCATACCTTGCAGAGTGCCCCAAGAGCTTCAAAACTCAATCAATTCTCAGCTGATTTCTTTGAACAAACACTCAGCCTGCCTGTCTTCTATGCCTCTTTGTTGGTTCAATAGTAGGGTGCAGGTGCCCTCTTTTCTAAACATTATTTGTAACCCAGACCCTCTATCCCTCTATGAAACTGAAAATGAGGAATTCATCCACTTTTTAAAATGTGCTGGCTTACTTTTGGTCAGGTCTAACAAGGTGCATACCACCTCGTGTAGTTACCTATTTCATTTCAAATTTACATTCTTGCAGGGTGCTGGGAGTAAAGTAATTAGTATACTTCCAATGCTGGACTCCCTGGTCTCAGCTTTTGCAGCTGTAAAGTCACATGCATCCGCTCTGCCTACCTCTTCCTTCCTCTCTTCTAGTCATGGAAAGTTTTGTATTACGTGAATCCATTCACAGAATACAAAGTCTTATGAAAATGGATAACAGTGGGAAGGGTCAGGTAGAGAATCTGCTGTATTGAAAAAGCAGCATCACTCCTGTCAGAGCACTGGGAGCATAGTAATAGTTGGACACCCAGTACTCCATAAAGCTGTCAGTTGTAAATCAAAGAGAAAAGTCCATGAGGTGGCATACACTTCATTGGACTTTAACCCAGTACATATTGCAAATTGGCTGCATTCCTGGACTGCAGCTTTAAATAATTTGGCTGCCTGCCTTTGTGTGCCCTTTTCAGATCTCATACACAGGGAGTGACCCTGCCCTTCTTACACTTCAGTTCCCCAAAATGTCAAATGTATTCTTTATGGTAATAAGTGTAAAAAACGTTTTTTTATTTGTTAGATGTTGGCACAGAATGTGACTGGAGCCAGGGGACATATGATGCACAGAGCTTTGACCAGATACCAGAAGGACTGAGGGGTGATGAGGATGA